TCAGAGAATCACGCCAGCAAGGCCCCCGCATGTGGAGCACACGCTCAGTGCACACAGCCCTCCCAGAACTGCCCAGGCCCCAGCAGCACACACTGCAGAGGGTGCTCTTCTCGTTGTAACCCATGCAGGTGGCATCCGTGTTGTTTAAGGCACAGCAACCCTACATACCTGTACTCACCACACACAATCACATATTTCTGAGCCCCCGCCCTCCAAGCCACACTATCTACTCTACTCACAACCCAAGATTCACTCAGCCCTGCTCCTCTCCTGGGCTGATTTCAGATGCCATCATCACAGAAGGCGGGGAGAATTTCAGCCAGGGCCAGAGGCAGCTGTTCTGCTTGGCGCGGGCCTTTGTGAGGAAGACCAGCATCTTCATCATGGATGAGGCCACGGCTTCCATCGACATGGCCACGGTTGGTCCTGGGCACATCCATGGGGTCGGGGGCTTGGAGAGAGTGGGTGGGTTAGGGAAAATTTGCACAAAGTAGCCCTGATGTCCAAGATGTTGCCTTGAACATCAAGGCCATTTGTGGCAGAAAAGGCAAAGGGCTGGGGACCCTGACTCCAGCTAGTCCTCGGGCATGTTCATAATCCACATACACACAAGCTGCACGCAGATCCACGGCAACTTCACACCTGTCCCCCACCACAGCACACCCCACATAAGCTCACAGCACACACACAAGCACAGACCTGAGCTCCTTGAATGCTAGGAACCCGGTCGGTCCTATGTGGACTAGGGCCAGACAGAGGGAGGAGGTGGGGCTAAGATTGGGGTCTGATGGGAGCTGGGCCACAACCCTGGGCCCCACATGCCCAAAGCTAGGCCAGACCACAACCACTGGGCAGGTGAGCCAACAGCTGCTGCTCCAACCTGGCAGGAAAACATCCTCCAGAAGGTGGTGATGACGGCCTTCGCAGACCGTACCGTGGTCACCATTGCGGTAAGGGGCCCGTTGAGGGGGTGCCGGGTGGACACCCACTGAAAGAGCAGCCCTTGGGCTCACTGGGACCCGGTAATCAAGAGGGGACCCTGGGGCAGGGCAGGGCAGGGTAAGGAGTCTAGAAGGCTGGCAGGGACCCTGGGTGGCAGGATTTGGAGTGGGGAGGATTTATACCTGCTATCCTCAGACCTCCCCTCTCTTTCTTCAAGTTCCAAGCCCCCCTCCTCACCTCTTCCCAAGGCCCAGTGAGCTAGGCTAGGGTTACATCTCCATAGGAAATGGGGGGTGGGGGTCTCTGAGACGTGAAGCCTGAAGTCTGGGGCAAAGCTGAGACCTGGTGAAGGGAGAGGATGTCATGAGTGAATGGGAGGCTTGGAATCACAGCCACCTCAGGAAAGGGCAGTCACCGCAGAGCCAGGACATTCTGGCCCCATGCCTCCTCCGCCTCCAAGCTGCAGGAAGGATGCCATCGGCTGCCCCGGCCTTCCCCCACCACCCTGACCAGCCCCCTCCTGCTCCATTCAGCACCGTGTGCACACCATCCTGAGTGCAGACCTGGTGATCGTCCTGAAGCGTGGCGCCATCCTCGAGTTCGACACGCCGGAGAAGCTGCTCAGCCGGAAGGACAGCGTCTTCGCCTCCTTCGTCCGTGCAGACAAGTGACCTCCCGGAGCCCAAGTGCCATCCCATGCCCCATCCTGGCCCCACCTCCCACCTGGGTTTTCTAACTGTAAATCACTTGTAAATAAAGAGATTGATTATTTC